TGTCCTTTACACTTCAGATTATCTTAGCCTTGGGGTTTGTCCAAAAGCATGGTCCAAATACTGATAAACCATTTTCAATTTGGTGCTAGCTGTCCTTTGTCGCTTCCAACAACCCAAACTAGAGGAGTTCCAACATCAAAGGGAAAGGAGGGGGAGGCAATCTTCTCCAGCTAATGAGCTGATTCTAAAATCTTCAGATCAGATTTAAGCCAATATAGGTGAGAAGTATGGAACTTGCTTTAATTTAAGCAGGTTCCCAATAGTCACGCTTCATTAAAGTTGATTTATAATGTCTATGGAAGTCCATTTTATCTGGAGTTCCTCATCTTATAGCTGGGCAATCTTCACAGAGGGGTGACCACAATCTCCATCTGTGACTGGGGCCAGCAGATCACTTAAGACAGATGGCTCATATGGATAATCCTCTGACATCTTTTATACCTAAAACATATTTTCTGATAGCTTTGATGCCCCCAAACCAGTTTTTTCTGTATGAATTATTTCCCCTTCCACAATGAGAGGTGGTGAGGGAGAACTTTTCACTCCAGGCCACCCCCCTCCCAGTCCCCTTTTCAACCATTTTGAACTGATATGTTGCCTGGTCTTTCATTATTATTTTTAAAATAAAGCTGCTTTAAAATACAGTAAAAAAACTGTATCTGGGAAGGAAATTATGTTTCCAGACTTTGTGTGGACAATATCAAACCCCATTGAAGTGAAGAACTTCTGGGCCAAGAATATCATAGAGCTATGTTACAGGACCTAGAAAGTGCCTAGAGAAGACATGTGAATAAATGAAACTATAGATATGGATTCCACTGATACAGAAGTCTTACTATAAAGCCAAATTAAAATTCAACCCATTTAAAGAAACCTGAAATAAAACAAAACATGTTTTTCAATAATTTCTGGCTTTTGACTGTGCTTTGGTTCCTGAGCTGGCAAATGAGAAGGGAACGCTTCTATGACTGTGTACAAAACTCGGCTTCTTGTCCTATGAATGCATATGGGTGCTAGCCAGTATGGTGTTGACAATCCTACATCCAGTGCTTAGTAACTCACAAATGGTTTCTGTTGCTAGATCAGACCCACCTACAGTGCACTGATCAATTCTGAAAGTGACAGTCACCAGTTTAGAAGGGATGAAGGAAAAGATCCAGGCTTCCCCAACTTTTCCCACAGGCAACTGGCATTGGCAAAAGTAACAGCATCAGCCATCTGTTTGGTGGGCACATGCTTTTTCCATTAGAGCAGTGTGGGTTAGTAGCTCTTCTACTAGTTTGACAGACAATATGTATGCATATCTAGAAGATGGTTACAAATAATATATGCAAACTAAATGGTAACCTACCTAGGTTTTTTTAAGGCTATGTAGGAATGTTATTAATCATATTGGGTCTGAGTTAACACAAGACAGATGAAGGCAGGGATGCTCAAGTGGCTGTATGCCTATAGTCCTCTTTAAAATAAAAAAAGTGCATATGTCTTACAAGGGCTTTGAAACCAAGTAGCTGAGATTCTCTGCTTGATAACGGAGAAATCAAAGCCTTCCCTTCCAAGTTTTGTTCTTTTAACTTTCATACTTTCAAGAATTTGGCTAGTTGGTTCCAACAAGTAATTCCAGTAAAATCTAAATCTAAGCATGGAAACATATTTATACATATGGCCAAAAGAGGAGAGCCAAGGAGTGAGTGAGTGAGAGAGAGATACTCCACAGGAACAGAGAAGGGCTTCCAATATGCTGGGCTAAAAACTTTTTTCAAAAAGGCCCCAGAGATTTTTCTATGCCCATATAAAGCCAAGAAAGGACTCGTTTACAATAGAAACCTACCAGGCAGCTCAGCCAAAATATTACAATAACACTTTCTTTCTAGGCCAGTATCACAGGGACTTGGCAGTCACTTGGGCTTCTGGCCTGGAGTAATATGCACGATCTATGCTTATATCCTTTTCAGTGCTTGAGGCAGCTCCATGTCTCCTGATGTGCCCTGTCTGCTAAGAATAGGAGGAATGTGAACTGGAATTTGGACAGGGCTCTTAACAGTTTCCAGTCTCCTTCTGTAATTTCTTCCAAGGCCATAACCCTCTCCAGCTGTCTTTGGCACAAGAACTGACTGATCTTAGGTTGAGCATTGGCTGCTACCACTAGGGCTCCCAGATTTCAGGTCCAAGCTTCTCTTCTCCTATTCTCAGGGCAAGGCAGAGGAATCTCAGCATAAGAGCACTGTCTTGGAAACACAAACACACACACTTGGTATTGTTTTTAATTTTATTGGAGTGGTCTGTGGTTGATGCTTAATTTTTCATGCTTCATGACATCAACGGGGTCTGATCCTTGTCACAATACTAAGTCCATCGCAAGGTATCTCCAGGTCATATGTTTTGTCCCCAGAATCTCCACCAGATCTAGCTACCATTATCTTGGACATGCTCAATCACTTTAGCAAACCATTTGCAACAGGTATAGGTGAGTCCCATGTCATGCTATCCATCCCGCAACAAAAGAGGCACAGCTCTAACTAGCAACAAACCTTATGCACTCCATTTGATATTCCTGCTTTTATTCTTGGGAGCACAGGCATTGTATTAATCTTGAACTGACAAAGTAGAACTAGAGGCATATGTAACCTCCACCTTGCTATTTTAATTTTGCCATTTAATTTTTTTGTAAAGGGCACGAATGATGCAATACATTGTAACTGAGTCAATGCAGGAAAGTGGGGGGTCAAACTGAATAATAGCTTGCCAAGGCCATCTCCTTTGTTCTTAAAACACATGTAAAAAGTCATCTAATACGCACCTGAAAGGAAATCTTGCAAAACAGGAACATTTGGCACATTTTAAAGGAACTCGTTGGCAGTGGCATCTAGAGCACTGAATGCTGCCATTCCAGTCTGGTAGCCAAGGAAAGGCAACTAAATGCTGATTTCTTGTCATACTGGTTAAAAAAATAGAGGGTGCAGGCAATTTCAACTAGGAAAATAAGGCCTAGAGGGAAAAAGGGTGAAGTAGACCTTCTACCGTTTAAACCTTTCTTGTTTGTTTAGCAGGGCTTTTTTGTTATCAGTGCTACTATTTTTTTAAATGAACTATGCACATGACTTTATACCACATCCAGGCTGGACCTTAAGATATGGTCCTCCACATAGTAATGTACAGTTGAATCAGGCACAGTTCATCAGTGTGCCAGATATCTACAGCGATGTATATATGCAGTTCAATTGGTACCTGCAGCCATCTAAAAATAGCCCCAACCAAAGCTGGACTGCTTCTATGACAGTAGTTCTCAACCTGTGGGTGCCCAGATGTTTTGGCCTTCAACTCTCAGAAATCTAACAGCTGGTAAACTGGCTGGGATTTCTGAAAATTGTAGGCCAAAACACCTGCGGACCCATAGGTCGAGAACCACTGTTCTATGTGGGGATCCATACCTTCTTTCTCTGCAGGCTTCGTGAGTGCTGTCAAGATTGGCTCTACAATGATGTAAGTGTCTCTGACAGATGATTTTGGGTATTATGAACACACAGCTGATTGTTAGTTATCTACAGTAATTGACTATTATTTGTATTGCTATGAAGGGAAGAGGCACCTGTCTCATGTATCAAAATAACTTGACCAGGTGTTGACTTGGGAGAAGATAACTTGGCGTCTTGGGAGAAGAGTGCCATTTTCGTCTGTGTCTTGGTCAGAGATATGTTTAGGCTAATCCTAGTTCTCAAGGAGGAGGAGGGAAATCTCCAGACACTCTGTATGTATCTCTCTGCCACTAGTTTTCACAAGACGATTGATTAGTGTTACTGGAGTCTGAGGCCTTCTAGCAATCCACAATTACATTTTTTTTTAAAGATTACAACTTTCGAAACCCTCAGTCATGTACCAAGCTCAGCAGAAGATCTTCATCTTCTGGACCAGAGTCTCCACCTGTCTTACATTCCCTGTAGGAATTCCTAATTGAGGTGGTCATATAAGACTATTTCAACATCACATGTGAGAGTGAATGATTTCCAAAAAATTTCTTCTTGCTGTTGAGAAAACAAATACTTCTGTATTAATCTCCTCAGATATTTGCACATCTCAAAATGTTTTAGAAAACTATTAAGCACACAAATACACTTTTTTTTACATTTGCATGAGAATTGTGGACTTTTTGCTCTAATTTGTATCCCTCGGGTGGTGACATCTAGGTTGTTTTTTTTTAAAGATAATTGTTTTTTCTGTACAAAGGACAAAAATACAACTTCATGGGAGGAATGTGCTATATTTCTGTGTGTCTGATTGAAGGTTCTTGTGTGCAGAATATGGCAATCTGGTGACAGTCACAAAAATAATATGAATTTTTGTGCAAAAAAAGAAAAGAAACCCATTGATCAGGCAAAGATTCCTAAGGCATTTCTGTGCAGAATAATTTCCTGAAAAGACTTCAAGATATGCAAATTCTGGGCAATAACTGTGCAGAATTCTTGCCAGTGTGTTATTCCTCCTGACTGGATTTCCTGAGTATTAGAAAACACATTTTTTTTAGCCAGGAAACGGATAATAGTATATTCCTTCTATGCCTAACTCCGAGACTGTTAACAATGTCTACTTCCTCTGGAATGTCTGGTGCTATCCTTGGATCTCCTCAGACCCAAGTTGCCTGAGATTCAGAGACATCCTAAACATTTCCAAAACTGGAATTTTCACCATGGAAGCATCTCTTACCGAAGGCATTTACAGAACATTATTGCAGCCAAGGATGGGAAGCACTAAAATGTTGCTGTAAGAACACAATGGACTCAGCCTCAAAAACATATTCATTCAAACATACATAATTATATCACCAGTACCAGACTGCAGATCTTTAAAAAAGAAAAAAGAAAAGGATTGAGTCAAATGCTTCCAGTCATGTGATCAGGTCTGTTTCGCAAGATTTCCCCAAAATGATTACAAAACTGAATTCTTGAATAGTCCACAATCGAATTCCTCTAAAATATGGTAAGAAACATGGCATAGACATTTACCTTGAACTATGAAGAGCAATTCACTATATATTGCTGGGTGGATCACAGGGCAAGGGAGTTCCTTCAGATAGCACCTAAGCATTGCAGCTAATGTCTGCCCATCAAATGAGTCCAATTCAACTGATGCCATGTCTGAATAGAGAAAAGAACAAGAAAAAGAACAACAAGAAGGTGTAGTTATCTCCGAAAGTCATCAGTGAGCCAGGGAAAAATTTAATTCATTTTCAAGGACAAAATCATTGCTTGTATTTAAGGAACTTAGCTTGAAAGAAGATTTCAGATTGTTACGTTAGAAAACAGATTTCACTAAATCACACACCACTTTTTTTGACCATGGACCACTTTGACCAGGGACCACTTTCCAACATTAGTATCAAAAGGGTTATGAATCAGTTTTTGGTCAGCTCTAGTTTCGGCTTGGTTATTTGGGATGCTGATTCAGAAAATTGCATTGGATAGACCACATCAGCTTTAGTTTCTGATATAGAACATATGCCACCCAGTATATTTTCTGCTTGCCCACAGAAAACTGTATTTAATAATCTAGAGCTGATGTGGTCTATCCAATGCAATTTTCTGAATCGGCACCACAAATAACCCCAGGAACAGGCCTAAAACCGAAGACACCAAGGTGCCCCCTGCTAGCAGGTGCCACATGGAACGGCTCTGCTCAGGGGGAGGGAGGAGGAAGAGAAGCGGCAGTCAGGAGGCTTGTTGTTGCGACTTTTGTGGGTAGTCAGCTTCTCCCCTCTTGAAATCCCCATTGTCTAAGAACTGTAAGACGGTTTTGCGAGAACAGTCACTCTTGTTGCAATGGTGTAGCAAAGGTGAAGCTGCAGGCCATTTTTTAGTTCTTGGGGACCACTGGTGGTCCATGGACTGGCCCAGAGGCATAGAAAGAAAATAATCTCTCAGACCTGGCCTCAGTTTATTCTTTTAGGGAGATTAGGAACGTATTCAACTCCACATATAGATTATCCTGCAGGCTAATTAGTGACAATTCATTAACCCTTTTTAGAAACAAAATAATCCAGAAGTGCATACTGCTATGGCACAGTATTCTATTGACTTCAATGCCTAAGTTTTGGAATTAGGCTAAGCACACAAACATACATTTATAAGTAAAGTAGAAAGGTGATATTACATTTGGAAAACTCTCATAATGTATTCCTTATACCTGAGTCAATATAGAATAGAGAACCACATGGAACAAAAGGCAAATAGCTAAACCTATTACTGATTTCCATCAGTCTCCCCACTTGCTGCCAAAGAAAGAAAGAAAGAAAGAAAGAGAAAGAAAGCAAGCAAGCCAGCCAGTCAGTCTGCCTGGCTTTTTTTTTTGCCTGACTTCTCAACATGTAGTCACTCATAAGTTTCCAATGGTTAATTATAAACTTTTTTCTTTGGGTAGAACTAAGATCCCACCCCAATTAAAGGTATCACAAGACACTAAAATGCTTCATGACCCTCACATACAAAAGAAAATGGACTCATTTTGAAGATGACAAAATATTTATGATGGGTAGTTTTGGGGTCATATATTTTAAAAAGGATTACATCAACATAAGATTGTCTCTTTTTCCTTAGAAAAGAGCCTATAATTTGGCTAAAAATAAGAACTGACAATTAGAAATGGTAAGCGACCACAAACCAAGGGGACACCTAATTATATTCCCTGTGCCCTACATGTCACCCCTTGGAAAAGAGACGTGTGACGCAAAAGGCGGCCTCAAGGCTGCTAGTTCCATGGAACAGTTTATGTGTCCAAGCAATTGCCCCAAAAGAGGGATTTCCATTCCCAGGGAGCACATGACAGAGGTTTAGGGATCTCCAAGCACAATGGCATACAGTCCTGAAGTGGCGGGGGGGGGGGGGGGGGGGGGGGGAGGTGGAAGTATGAGAAATGTGACCCATATCCTGACTGCCATAGTTTAGCCAGCCAGGCTCCCTGTCTTTAATGCATCCAAGAATTTTATAGGCGATTTTCTTCTTAGAATATGAAATAAAGCTCTAGGAAACAGAGTTTTCAACATGTAGCATTTTGTAATTTCAGAAATACGAGTTTTGTTTCTTTTCACCAGTCTGGTAATAAAGTTTGCTTTTCCACTAGATTTTTAAAAAGCGTCCCTCTGTTATGCTTGTTTGCATGTCATCTGATACTGATGCCTAAAAATAAACCTATTTTTCTATTCCACCAGATTCCTGTGCCTATGGATTGAAGTCCTCTGTGCCCACACATATTTAAATGCTCTGCTGTGCTCACTCTACTGGAAACCAGAAAAGTTTTAAATTTTTAATATGAGAACTGTGTGTCTGTGCCTTCACGTCGCCTGTCGACTTATGGTGACCCGTGCATTTCATAGGGTTTTCTTAGGAAAGGATAAGAGGTGGTTTTGCCAGTTCCTTCCTCTGAAAAACAGCTTACACAAGCTGGTATTTATTGGCGGCCTCTCTTCCAAGTACTAACCAAACTGAGCTTACATAGCTTCTAAGATCAGACAGGATCTAGTTCTTTTAGGTTATTTGGGTACCCAAAAATGCTGGAAATATAGCTGTATATGTAACAGTGTTTGAATAAGATGCCAGTGAAGCATTGCTCCTATTTATAAAAAAATATTTTATTTATCGTATCAGGAACAAACCAAATAGTTGCATTGTATTTAAAAAAGAAAACCAAAAAACCCCACAAAGTTTGCAAGCTTGGTTGTTGACTAAATGTCCTTTGACCAGTATCTGGCCACTTGGAGTGCCTCTGGTGTTGCCACAAGGAGGTCCTCCATTGTGCATGTAGCAGGACTCAGGTTGCATTGCAGCAGGTGGTCAGTGGTTTGCTCTCCTCCACACTACATGTTGTGGACTCCACTTTGTAGCCCCATTTCTTTTTTTAATATAATTTTTATTGAGTATTTTATAGAATTACAGAGAAAGTGGGGGAATATTTGCAAGTAGATACGAAAGTAGGAAATAGTAAGATAAAAAGGTTGGCTCTGCATCTCATGTTGCCAGAATGCAGTCTATTCAGCATCTTCCAAGTCACCCAGTCTGCTGTGTGCCCAGGAATGAGTCTCTCATTTGGTATCAGCCATTGATTGAGATTCTGGTTTGAGCCTGCCACTTTTGGACTCTCGCTTGCTGAGGTATTCCAGCGAGTGTCTCTGTAGATCTTAGAAAACTATTTCTTGATTTAAGTCATTGGCGTGCTGGCTGATACCCAAACAGAGGATGGGCCGGAGATGTCACTGCTTTGGTCCTTTCACTATTGGCTGCTATTTCCCGGCAGATGTCAGGTAGTGCAATACTGGCTAAACAGTAGTGTAGGGCGCAGACACCCCATGATAATGTGGCATGTCTCATTAAGAGCCACATCCACTGTTTTAGCATAGTGAGATGTGTTATTTTAATAAGGAAATCTCTTTAGTGAGCAACTCATCTGTTTATCACTCATTATATCATCAATGGATGCTTAGATTGAAGTTTAGGATTAACCTCTTGTGATGCCACAGGAAGCAGAGCCTCATGATTTTGTAAGGATTATGCCACAAGAAGAAGCTTCTGGTGATACATTAAACATCAACCATAGTTGCAAGAAATATTTAAAAAATTCAAAAAGAGGTCTAAAAGTGAGGGACATACACACATAGAGGGAGAGGGAGGGCTAGCTAGTTTTCAAGACAGTACTCTCACCCTAAGATTCCTCCCATCCTAACAACTGGAGGAAAGGGTACAGGTCCTGAGATCTGGCAATCATAGTTGTAATTTAAAAAAAAGGTAAGAAAAGAAAAGGAAGAAAGGGAACTCCTAAGCTCTACTCATGACCCTATCATAGTGCAATTTTTTTCCAGCCAAGCACCATAGCAATGAACATGTCACCATGGAAAGTATTACATTTCCTCTGGTACCATGTGTTGTACTTTGGATACTCAGAAAACAGGATATCCCTGTGACAGAAGTACTACCATGAGTGAGACATGTGAATTGCATATTTCAAATGGAAAACACATTGTGTGCATTTACTATGCAGAAATGGTTTTCAGGAATCAATTAGAATGGCTGTTTCTTGCTGGGAAGCTGTGTATGCCTGGATTACACACTGTCCTTCTGCAACTTCAAACAGCATTGGAAGGGGGTAGGGAGACCACTCTACTGTAGCTTCTCAATATTTCTCCTTTAAGTCTGAGTCTATCATGAGTAGATTCAGATGAACAACTGCTCTCTAAGAATAGTGTGGTTTTGTAGCAAAGGGCAAAAGCACAGTTCCCACTGAGTTTTGCTCACCAGAGACTTCAAATGAATTTCAGAATCTCCTCCCTTTGTGCAATGATATTCCAAATTTATTCATATTAATTGCCCACCATTTATTGGCTGTAGCTACACTTGTTCAATAGAATACACTCCTAAAACCAAAATGTCTATCACAACCAATTGTAGAACCAGAGGTGCGGCCACTTTGGTTCAATAATTAAAAGGAAGACTTA